GTTGTGGTTGCCACGCGGGGATAATGTCAGGATGTTCACCCCCGAAAATACAATATTGTGTGTACACATTCTACGATTATACTCCATTGATTTTATGGTGATTTTATTTAGACTGCAACCTGAAAATTGTAAAAATTGCTAGCTATGATAAAACGTGAACGAACACAACTACACTTCGTGAGATTATGGAGACAAGATACTGTCACTAAATACTGGAAAGTCTTGTTTATTTCGCGGTCACCCGGCTTTCAACATTTATACACTCCTATATTTTATCTTATTGAAGCAAAACACCAAACATCGATTAAAATAAAGTCATGCTGCACATTTCATGAATATGTGAATTATGTTTAACGGTACCTGATTTTACATTCTACGCGTACCATGTTTTGTGACGTCATTAAAAGGATGTGGAACTTATGGGCAGAGATCCAAATGATTGCCGCCCCATCCTAGTTTGGATTTGTTTTCCTTCATATATTTTATTCTAATTCCTTATTACTTTAACTGCTGGTATTGATCATTTAAGTGTCGGTGATTGCGAAAATAAAATGATTATGACATTTTTCAGTATTTCATTGAAAATAAAAACTGTTTTCTATTATCCCACTCAAAATATCAAAATACCACCCCAACCACCCACCCCCACACATCCAGTTGTCGAATCATTTCAATATTTGTCATGTAGCAAATGGCTATTCTGTCCAGGGACTGTGTTCTGTCTTTGTTTTTTAGTCCACCCACAGCCTCTTAATCACGTGATATTTGAGTGATGCGGGACTTTGGTCCGTTATTAGCTACGTTTGTACGTGGACAAACTCCTTAAATCAAAAGGTCAGTGCACTTACAGCATTTATAACTAACATATTTGCTTTGTGTGAAAAGTAGTTCGGTGGCCGTATATTTTTATCTTGGGTTCTCGAGCTGCAGCATAAAATAAAAACGTGGAATGTCATTTACACTTGTAAACCTTATAAAATGACTCAATAAAATGTTGTTGTTTTTAAAAAAAAAACAACGTGAAATGTCATGAGTATCTGAGCATGTGGTCACTTACATTATGTTACTTACAAAACCTTATGATTTACAAACTATCATCATGCGTTATGACGTCACATTGAACTTTTGGCAAAAGATCCCAATGATTCCGGCACGATGACACAGATATCAATGTGATTATAATAAGATCCTAGTATGATTTGGAGATTGGAGTGCTAGCACACTCCTCATCTACTTGTCAAATTCTGTAACCTGTTCGCTGATATTCATTCGTTTTGTTGGACAGTACGAGTGCACGTGGTTAAACTAGTTAATTATAGTTTGGCCAAGACTGTTGGTCACTTAAAAAAAAGTTCAGGAATATTTCGAAATATCCCAGAGATCCATATATTAGGGGCAGATTGTTCTGTATTAAAAGTGAATATAAAAACACCGAAAAAGAAAAGAAAATTTAATTGAAAATTTCGCAAGTAAATAAAAATGAGTTTAAGGGGAGATTCATTCTGGAAATTATTACGAGATTTGGATGATGATAGAAACAGTAATGAAATATATAATTCAATAACTCCAAGTGAGTGGTTAAATTGTTTTAATAAATAGCCAAATCCATCAACGGAAGACAATTCTGAACTAAATGCCATGGAGAGAGACATGGATGATAATCAAGATATTAATGGACCAATCCTGCAAAGTGAAATCATAAAAGCAATAAAGTTATTAAAATATAACAAAGCAACTGCAGAAGATATCATTTCAAATGAAATTCTAAAATACGGTCAACCACACCTCACCAATGCACTGCACTGCACACACTTTTAATATCGTTTATAACAGCAAAAACTTCCCCAAATCATGACGCTCGTGTTTGATAGTACATGTACCATTTTTTAAATCAGAAAAAAATCAAATCCTTCAAACTGTAGAGGCATAGCTTTATCAAGCTGTCTGAGGAAATTAAAAGTTTAATTAACAAAAGAATAACATCATACCCAGAAAAAAATAATATCAGTTCCAAAAAGCATTTGGATTTGGGAGATGTTGTCGCACGTCAGACATTAATTACAATATAACAATAATCTAAATGATCTGACAGGAAAAACCCCAAAACACTATATGCTTGTTTCATAGACCTTAAAAGGCATTTGATAGTATGTGGCATGAATGAATGTTTTTAAAATTATTAAAATCTGGCATAACAGGCAATATTTATAAAATTATAAAAGACATGTACAGTAAAGTAAACTATAAAGTCAATGTTATTGATGGATTAACAACTGAATTCACATCACATACTGGGGTTAAACAAGAGTGTAACTTAAGCCCTACTCTTTTCAATTTGTTTATTATTGACTTACCAGAATTTTTTGATATTGCCACATGTAACCCACCCACGCTGGGAAACAGTAAAGTTGGGTGCTTCCTCTTTGCAGACGACATTGTCATCCTTTCAGAAACAAAACATGGATTACAAATAATCTCTCCACTTACACAAAACATTGGAAGCTGACTGATAATTAATGAGGTTGAAACTGGATTTTCCAGGATTTTGAAATTCAAAATGGCCGCAGTCATATTTGGTCAAATCCGTGTGAATATGTAACCCTCCTCACTGTGTCTTTGTATCTAGTATCATTGAAATCAGTCAAGGCATCACTTAGAAATTTGAATGGACAGACAAAAGCCATGATTAACAATCAAAATGGCTGCCAGTCGGCCATATTTGATCATTTCAAAAAATTACATCTGCGTGGGTGGTTCCTTTGTCTTTGTACTAGTCTTAACAAAATCGGTCAAGCCATCTCCGAGAATGACGATGGACACACAAGGACCGAATTTGCCTGAATTTTGGCATTAAAATGGCCACCAGTCGGTCATATTAGACAGTTTCGGGAAATAAATATACCTAGTACTACATGATGTATGGTTGACCACTATGTCTTTGTACCAAGTTTCAAACAAATCGGTCCAGCCATCTCCGAGAAATCACTCCAGACGGCCCGGGACTGACGGATTGACGGACTGACGAAGGCGAAACTGCAAGCCCTCTCCCGGTGGGGTTAATGATAACAGAAGGAATAAACTCAGAACGTACAAACATTTCAATTTTTTTTTTACAAAATTACGTAATCAAAATAAAGAATGCCGAACTGCGTGAATGTATGTCTGAGCAACCATAAACTAAAAATTGGAACAGGGAGGTATACCAAACCAAAAACCTAAATAGGAAAAAGAATTTGCGAATTGTGTTTAAATAATAATATTTGAAGAGGCTAATAGACACAATATAAACTTCGTGGATATGAGTGACTACAACACATTTTTAAAATTAATGGGTGATACAAACCTGAATGTACAAATACCAGTTGCCCAATTAATTAAAAAATAACACGAAACTTTCCGGGAAATAGATTTTTCCCCTTTAATACCTTTTTTAATTCCTTTTCCATGTTTTAATTATTTATATTTTTTTGTATTATTAACGCCATTTTTTTCAATAGTGGTAGGTCGATGCACTTTCAGCACTTATAACTAATGTATTTGTCTTTGTTCAGTCATCACATAACGAGTTATACTTTGGGCTTTGGGTCCGACGTAATAATACAAACATATAGCGATATAATCCAAGTTGTCAATTGTGAACGCTTATGATTTTTTCCGTATTATTGCAAAACTAAAAAGAACGGACAGTCGTCACATTTAATTAATATTACGATTAATATTTTACAAACGTCATATACGTCGCATGTGGGACCCATTACAAATACGACTCAGTCCACAGCTTTATACAAATTACAGACACGCTATCCCCTCGCGCCCTTTGTCAAGTTCTTGTCCAGATTGTATCCTAAATCCGCCTAGAACACTGTTATTTTTTAAATATCGCCGGGGTTGTGGTGGAGAGGACCGGCATTGGGTGAGCATCAAAAAGCCAGCCTGTTGTGATATGTATACGTCTTAGCAATTATGCCTGTCAATAAACCTGTTATCCATACATCTACCGGTTAACAAATATGCAGTAGATGCAAGTTCATTTCCAATTTGAGACAGGATGGTATACTAGTATTCGAGACTTGTTTTGTCTGCAATTATTATTATTGTAAATTCAAGGCATTAGGTCTAATTCAATTCCCGTATCTGTTCATATCACCCTGGAAACCTCTCCAACGATTCATATTTGTTCCACTCGCGTACGGAATGTGAATATAATAGGTAACTTAATATAATCATCACGGATTTAAAAAAAAAAACGAACACATTTATGTAGTTTATTTATGTGTTTGAATTCGTGTTACAAACCCAACAGACTAACAGTCGGGATAACCGACTGGGGGGGGGGGGGGGGGGCACGACTTGAAACATGAATACAACCAGACAATGTAACAGCCAAATAGTCTGTGAATAACCAATTGTGATAGGAATCCGTAAATGGTAAACGTTAGTATTACTGTAACCGTTTAATTTTCAATGCAAGACATTTTCACGATTTCAGGACTATACGGCATTCGTAAAGAAAATTGTTTGCGAAAATCGCTGAGACTCAACGTATTATGATTCAAGAGAAAATTTCACAAATTTTCACGATTTTCACAGACCCGCGAAATTCATTTAACTCGAAATCAAAGCGGTCTACAGTATTCTGTCGATCGCAGCTTCCTTGGCATGCACTTTATGTGTAAACGGGATGATGTACACACCCTCTTATCGTACGACATCAGAACGCTTGAATGTAATTAGAGGTCAATTTGCTAAAGCGGCGTTGCTATTTATAAATTACACCCGTGATATATTGTACCCTGCAATATATGCTTTACTGGTACGTTTTTCCGGCTATAATTCTTCTTTATGATTTTATTGAATTATTTTTATTTTTATTTATTTTTAATATACATTCCTCGTCTGGGCGGATTAGCATGCGTAAAAACTACATCGATCGACAGATACAAGTGCGGGAGGGACGGCGTGACATGTGACAGCTACTGATGTAAATATATGACATTCAGCCGGTGAGTTAGAGGTCACAATCTAAACACCGGTGAATTTTAGTTGTTCGACCCCGACTCCGACTGTGACTTCGTGTTCGTGTTCACGCCTGATCTGTTTATAGCTGTATTCAATTGTTTTCACTTAAAATTCAACCGAATATGGCCAACGACGGCATCCTTTCCGAATCTGCAGCAGACATCGAGGCCCTGCGTAGGTTGTCAACTATGGGGAACTCGGAGCATGTCAAGAAAAATATATCAGATGTTCGGCTCGATTTTGAGAAGAATTTCGACGACACGGCATGGCAGGTATGGTTGGAAAATTATTGGTGGCTGTCAATAGTTGCATCTGTGATGTATATCTTCACTATATTCTCCATTCAACGTTTCATGAAACATAGACATCGTTTGGAACTCAGAGGCCTACTTATAGTATGGAACGTCGCCTTAGCTGCGTTCAGTATCTTCGGTGCTTGTCGATCTCTGAAAGCCATGTACATTACGTTAACCAGCCGTGGACTTCACGAATCGATATGTACCCCGGGCGATATATATTCGAACAACGAGATAACCGGTGTATGGGCTATGTACTTCGAAATTTCTAAAGTTGTAGAATTTGGAGATACCCTTTTCATCGTACTTCGAAAGGGCAATTTGATATTTCTACACTGGTACCACCATGTGACCGTGCTGATTTACGTATGTTACTCCGCCACCGACCGCACTTCGACCGGATACTGGTTCATGTTGCTCAACTTTATGGTTCACTCGGTCATGTATTCCTATTACGCGTTCCGTGCTGCGAGGATTCGCCTCCCTAAAATCATTCCCATGAGCATCACCGCTATGCAACTATTGCAAATGATCGGAGGCTGTGCCGTGCAGCACCACGTCAACTACTCTCTAAACCATGGATACGATTGCCAAGTAACTTCACGAAACAACTTTTTGGGAAGCTTAATGTATGGGTCTTACCTGCTGTTGTTCGCACAGTTCTTTTACAAGGCTTACTTAACAACCGCTCCCAAACCACTCTCGACCAAACGACAACTTAAAGAAGAATAAAACAGAAACTACATTGTTTAGCTACTTGGACATTGGGCATTCGTAATATTTATTATTCGGGTTGCGTAACTGTGGGTCGCCTGCATGGTTTCACCAAGAGCAGTACTCGTTTATAACTTTACGCTAATATACAGTGAAAGGCAGAAAACTGTACTTTATTTTAAAAACATATTTATAACAATTCGTAAAAATATATCATCAGCGAAAATAACAAAATGAAGGGCTTGTTGATTGGATGATGTAGAACTTACTCATTAATATTAATTAGAACTTGTGATGACAACATTACCATATTTTTTCTGGTCAATTTGGATTCCATCAGTTATTTTGATTTATAGAAACTTGTATTTGTAAAATATTTATAACATCCCCAGCTTTATGCCTTTCACTGTATATGTCTTGTTTAAGTCTAGAAATGTATGTATCGTTGTGCAGTGATTGCACATTATATGTCTAGTCAATTTACTTGAATTAGTTTTATGGACATTTATAAAACATTTGTCATGAAGGATCCTCACTCTTCTTTCAAATCTAAAAAGATGCTTTTATTGGCGCTAGGAACTGTTTGGTAGCACCCATTACCTATGAGTCTTTGCAGGGTTTCATTAGTCATTGCCTTATTTATTGCAATGAACGCAATTTGTTTAAAATGCTTGAACTTACAGTGATTCTTTTACTGATTTTTTGTTTGTTTAAAAATGCAAGTCCAAGTAACACCACCATGTGGCACAATACGATAGATTGTGAAAGCGAGCCAGTGTCGGTGGGGGGGGGTAAATATTAACTGGCACCATTGAGGTTACATATGGACGGCTTTTATTCAAGTTGTTTTTCGAATTGCTGCTTAAAATTTATAAATATTTTATATAAAACAAATTTACACCTCTGCATTATGCCTATGCATTATGCACAGAATGAGTTGCCCCCTTCAAGAGCATGTAATCATTCAAACCTCTGATTGGTCAAACAGCATTTGTTTAAAAACCCGTAAATTTTGTAAACAGCTTTTCTGAAAGCACTGTCAAGACATGAAATATTTTTATATAAAACATTTATGACAATCTGTAAATTTCAGTTGAAAATCATTGGCCAATCACATGCCTTAGTGAATGAATATGTAGCCATGATTGAGGTAAATGAGCTGCAACTTGCGGGTATTCAGCAATATGTATAAATGTATTCTCTGTAGCCAATCTTCAAATCTGCTGATTCAAATGTAGCATGAGGGCGCCCTAGGGTAAATGTTTCATAATTTTCCATAAACTGTTCATACCTTTATGAAATGTAGTGTAATGCATTTAGCATTCTAAGAACTTCTAATAGATTAATCTCAGTATATTATTTCTATAACAGTTGCTAAAACATTTAGTTTACACTCATTTTGATTTACCCATGCTTGTAAATTTCGATTCAGATTCAACTGAGAGGTTGTGATTTGGTATTTGGAAGCTTTTTTGTACTGCCCTCTAAGACTAGTGATGTCAGAATCACAGTTGCTGCAATTGGTCAAACAATTTACAACTGCCATTTTGGGTTTTTAGATGTTATTTTAAATATTTATAAATTAACTGCATACCACTGCATTGGGTAATTTGAAATGAGTGTAATATATAGGCATACAAATTGCAGGGTTTCAAGTCACTCCAGGACAATGACCGGGTAGTGGGGAGGGGTAACAATTGTCACCATAACGATGTGAATGCAGTTGCATGTCAAGGCATGTAAGTATTCATTTCTACTGAGGTGCACAAATGATTGTGATCCTTACTCTAAAATAGGGGTGTGGTTTCATTCTTGTATATCATCCAAAAAAAAAAAAACTTCCTTCACAATGCAGCTGTTAGTATTTAGAGAGTAAAGTTTTACCAATGAGACATACCGGTAAATTGTGTATTGATTTTCAAAATGAGCTTTATTTGCTCCAATATGTACATTGTTTGTATAGTACTAGATATAACAATCAAGACAAATCTATTTTTTCATAGCAAGTACCCTCCAAGACTGAAGTATGTCACGCCATTCTAATTTTGAAAATGTTTTTTTTGTATATTTTGGCCAATCTGACTTCTACAAAAGGCATGCACAGGATCCAACCCCTGGTAAAGAAGCAATCAAATGCAATACCCCCCCCCCCATGCACACACACGCACACATGCATGTTCACTCCCTGACAAACTGTACATGTGTACACAATTTTTACAATTAGAACCATCCATTCAATTTATCACAATGTGTTGTTTCACATCATTAATTTTTTTACCCATGCTAAAATGGGCATTTTCAAAGCATTTTCCATAGAAATAAATATTAAAGCATTATGTCATATAAAATATTATCAGAATTTCCTAATTATTTGTACTATAATTATAACTATTTTTTTCACTATACTGTAAAAAATTAAAGATACTAGTATGATGAGACATAAGAATAAATGGGACTGGGACATTTTATGCACCAGTATAAGATCTAGTCTGGCTACAGTTGATTTTTGTTTTACTGAATCAAGCCATAATTGCAAAATGGTGATGTACACACAATTTTCCAGGTAAACACCATTTTGCAACCAAGTTGCCAAATTTGTTGAAAATGAAATTGTTAATTTGTTCAGAAAATTTGTTTAGAAATCCCCACTCTGAAGCCAATCTAGATAGAATCTGTCCCAAGTTCAGTTGATTTTTGTGTAATCTTGCATATATACGCTATTTTTGTTCATTCTGTACTTTGAACTCTGTAATGTAAAATTTGTAAATTGTTAATGTAAACTTTCAGCCATTGTATGCAAATACATTCTGTAGACGTTGTTCATGTGTTTGTAATTCTCTGACTGATAAGTGGCCATCATTGGATCTGCTTAAGTTTCTTCCTTACTGAATCTACAACATTTATTGATTTATGGATTGATTACCAGCATAACAAATTGTGTTTAGAAATGTCTAGAATATAGTTAAATCTCTCAAACAGAATCTGGATATGGATGACTACAGATTAAAATATTAATGGTTTGAATAGTCTACTAGCACTTCATCTATAGATGAAGCATGACTTATAAAATAAAATAAAAGGGGAATATAATTGCCACCTGACACCTGAATTTAGAGCTACTACATGTAGCTAGTAGCTGCCTGATTCACTACCTTAGTACATTGTATTGTTGGACTTCATCCATGTCTCTTGTTTTAGCACGAGTTGTGATGAGACTTTCCCTTCTCTTGTTGTGATTGTCTTCAATTTTCTTTGGTTTTCTGGCCAAGTATCTTAAAATCATGTTTGGTGGAGCAACACAATCCAACAATAGTGTTGACAACATTATGTTCTGTGAAGCACTGCAATCCAACAATAGTGTTGACAACATTATGTTCTGTGAAGCACTGCAATCCAACAATAGTGTTGACAACATTATGTCTCTTGTTTTAGCACGAGTTGTGATGAGACTTTCCCTTCTCTTGTTGTGATTGTCTTCAATTTTCTTTGGTTTTCTGGCCAAGTATCTTAAAATCATGTTTGGTGGAGCAACACAATCCAACAATAGTGTTGACAACATTATGTTCTGTGAAGCACTGCAATCCAACAATAGTGTTGACAACATTATGTTCTGTGAAGCACTGCAATCTAACAATAGTGTTGTCAACATTATGTTTGGTGAATCAACACAATCCAACAATAGTGTTGACAACTTTGTTTGGTGAAGCACTGCAATCCAACAATAGTGTTGACAACATTATGTTTAGTGAATCAACACAATCCAACAATAGTGTTGACAACTTTGTTTGGTGGAACACTACAATCCAACAATAGTGTTAACAACTTTGTTTGGCGAAGCACTGCAATCCAACAATAGTGTTGACAACATTATGTTTGGTGAAGCACTGCAATCCAACAATAGTGTTGACAACATTATGTTTGGTGAATCAACACAATCCAACAATAGTGTTGACAACATTATGTTCTGTGAAGCACTGCAATCCAACAATAGTGTTGACAACATTATGTTTGGTGAAGCACTGCAATCCAACAATAGTGTTGACAACATTATGTTTGGTGAATCAACACAATCCAACAATAGTGTTGACAACATAATGTTCTGTGAAGCACTGCAATCCAACAATAGTGTTGACAACATTATGTTTGGTGAAGCACTGCAATCCAACAATAGTGTTGACAACATTATGTTTGGTGAAGCACTGCAATCCAACAATAGTGTTGACAACATTATGTTTGGTGAAGCACATGCAATCCAACAATAGTGTTGACAACATAATGTTCTGTGAAGCACTGCAATCCAACAATAGTGTGACAACATTATGTTTGGTGAATCAACACAATCCAACAATAGTGTTGACAACATAATGTTCTGTGAAGCACTGCAATCCAACAATAGTGTTAACAACTTTGTTTG